TGTAATTATCAAGTCAAATGTAATATTAAAGTTCATAATATTATAATTGGAGTAATATTTGAGATTATAATACAATTACGATACGTCGACATATGAGATTATGAAATTAATTTCGGTTCAACATAATAACAATATAATTTTTTTTAATAAGTGAGAATTTCCTGTGCAAAATATGATATTTTTACATAATTTTTCTCAAACAATGAACGGTAAAACTTATTTTCTTCTATCATATAAAATTAAATCAAATCATATCAAATTTCCAATTATTTTAAATTCATATCATTTGGATTCAAATAATTTTAGATCAATCTTACAAATAATCCAATTTCGATTAGTCAATTGCAGTTCAAATCTTTTTGATTGTTAATGTCTGCTAATCAAATTGGATTGAGTTTGATTCAGATAAATCGGACGAAATTTTTTTATTCATACAAGTTTTGCCGGTTCAGCTTTATTAATTCCTCTATGGAGTTTATTGCAAGACTTCCCAGAATTTGAAGGTGGGCTTTTAAATTTTAAACCTCCTTTACATGATTGGATTGGGCTCCGATTGAAACTAAATTAATTATTTATTGTATTTAATAGTAATTAAAAAAATTTTCAAAATATTTTTTTATTTTGGAAGATTGTTGGACACGTGGAATATTCAAAGATTGACATGTGTAATTGATATGTCATTTTATAGGGTAATTAAGGCAGTGTTGGACCATGAAAATAGAGGAAAAGGGCGAATTTAAGGTGGGTGGACCCATTGTCCTTTTCCAGCCAATCTTTATCTTTGGATGCCAAGCACAACTCATTTAAGTCTCCCACTTTACCTTTTCTTCAACGGGAACCCTGCCTCTCTCTTAATTTTTCTTCTTATATATTCTCCGAAAATCATAGCTATACTTTTATTATAGTAAAATAAAATTTTAACTTTTAATTTACATATAAATAAATTCATAATTTTTTATTAATATTCAAATAAGTTTTTGTCTTTAATTTATATTTAAATAAATTTTTTATTTAAAATAAAAATTTATTTGAATATAATTCAAAGAATAAAAATATAAGATTTATTTAAAAAATGAAATAATTCAATTTTTAAAAATATTTTAACTTTTATAAAATAATATAATGGACCCTTGAATAAGGATAATAGTAGAGATGGTAATGGGTAGACTATAATGGAGTATTTTATACTATTTGATCCGTTTAAATACGATTAGGATACCTTATAAATGGGTTCAAGACTTCAAGTAAGATATGGTAATAAGTTTAGAGTATCCACAGTTGTTATGAACAATGGATTTTTAATGTATATATTACTTATAATTGGCTAATCATTTATAAAACTTTATAAATTACCTAAATACGAAAAGTAAAGTTTAAATTTTAAATTTAATTTTGATTAATAAAACATATAAAAATAGGTAAATTTATTTTTATTATTGAATTCAAGTTGGGCACTCAACTATTTTTAATTAAATAAACAAGTTCAAATTTTAATCAAGTTTTAATGATATATTATTAAACGAGTTCGAATTTGAATCAAATTTTAACGAAGTACTATTAAACGAGTTCAGGCATAATATGAATATTATATTTAGTAATCGGATTCAAGTAAGAGCATCTCAAAATTATTGAATACAATACATGTTGCCTTATATGCACTATCCTGAAAAGCAAAATAACACAATGATTAAAAGGAATTTTTTTCAAAAGTAAATCATTATTATTATGAGAAATTATTAACTATATGAAGTTTTAAAATTTCATAATTGATTTTAGTAAGATAATACATACCTCTTAGTGCATATTAAAATTTTTTTTTAAAATATTGTTTAAAAAGTGAGATATATATGGATGAGTTTCTTAACTTCGATTATAAAATTAAAAAAAATGTACTTACAATATATCAAATAATTTTTTAATTATTATTAACATTATTATTAGACAAATTATCTCAAATACACTGTTAATGAAATTCAAAAAAATTTCGACCGTCGATCCTTATCAAAATGGTTTTTTTTTTTAAATAAAATAAAACTCAAATGATTAAGAGGAAAACTTTCTCTGGGAGTATAGTAAAAACTCTTATATCTAACATACAATGTTGGAATTTCAATCTCCCCTTTAACTTTCTCATATATACAAAGAACAAAGAAAACTAGTACAAAAGTTACGAACACCTTTTAAAGTATTACAATTCTACCCTTTATTTCACTGAAACTTAATTGCTTCAATGCATATTATGACATAATCTTGAATCAAATCTACCTAAGGGTATTAAGATTCATATTAGAATAATTAATCTACACTTAGTTTGGTTAATTTAAAAAAAAAAATTCATAATTTGAGGATGAACAAAAGAATTGTCGATACTAAAATTGGAACCTTATTTTTGGATATTACTTCTTAAAGAGATTATATGAATCAATTAGAATAAGTCTCGGATTCAAAGTTTGGTTAAATTTGCTTAATATTTTCTTTCAATGGGATTAGGGCATACATTTTTAAAAAATCATGATATGAAAACATTTTACCTATAATTCTTTTTACTATAATTATATAATTATTTAATCACAAAAAAAATAATTATATAAAAATCTATCATTTATAAGTGTGAACTTTATATAAAATTTTAATGAATCTCAAATAATTCTAAATTATGATTAACTAATCATAATATAATAATTATAGGTAATATGCTCCTATATTCAAATGACGAAATTGTTTTCCATTATACAAAGCCAAAAGTTAGAAATATTATTTAAGGCAATAAATGCAGCATACCCATTCCACAAATGCCATAATTATTTCTTCAATAATGTTGGCTAATATTTTCCAACATTGTTAGACTTTATAGTAGTCATTTTTAGGGTTATCTCTTTGATGATCTGTTACTAACTTACTAGCTAGCTCATATAAGTAAATGCTAATTAAGCCAAGGGGAAAAAAGAATTAAATTATAAAAAAAAAAGAAAAAAGAGAAAGATAATTAATTAAAGCTCAAATAAGTAGATGTCTCTCATGCATACTATTATTTCTAATTGCAAATTTAATATTTGATATTTAGATTGGGACCAAACGAATACATAGGCAGGAACATATATATATTAAATGAGGCAAGAACTGATTAATATCTCTTTATTTTATTTATTGATTTTATAATAAAAAATTATGATTTAATTTAATAAAATTAATTATTTTATTTATTTATTAAAATATACAAAAATAATATCAAATTTTCATTCACTAATAATAATTTTTTTATTAAATTTATCAAACATTATTTTATTTTTTTACAACATTTTTAAAATAACTTTTACTCAAAACAACATTTCTTATAAAAATTTCAGTCAGACCAAATAAACCATATAAAAAAGATTGGAACAATACATTTTAAACTTTTTACACTGTGCAGCCTTTGGTTTTTTACATTGACAGCAGCACTTTTTTAAGTGATTAATTTTAACAGCACAAGTTGACTATTAAACTAAATGTCAGTATTGGAACAATGAGCTGCAAAATTATTGTGCTACACAATTAAAAAAGTTGTTATTCAAAAACCTATTTCTTGTAGTGATATTATATAGCATTAAAGGGATCTCTTTTTACTTTTTTCAGTAAAAAATAATAATAATAATAATAATTCTTCAAAATTTAACTCAATTAATTTATTAAACTTCTTTAAAGAATAACATACAGTAAATTTAAAATTCAATGCTTGTACTTATAAATTATAATTTTTTTCCTATCTTAAGAATGTGTTTCTTTTGATAGGTAGATCCAAAAGTAAAGACCCTTTAGTCTCCAAAACAGTTAAAATCTACTTTCTTTCCTAAGTAGTTAGGGTTCTACCTCTTCAAAACCTGCGGTCAAAGTTAAATTTCCCTAACAGTCAATCCTTCATCCATTTATATTTTCTATGCAATTTTTTTTTAATATTTGAGGTTGTTAAAATTTGATTTTAATTAATGGAATTAAGAGTTTAAATTCTATACAAATTTTAAAGTCTTCAAAAAAAAAATTAATAAGATACCTTTATTTAATTTTTTTATACAAATTTTTTTAATTATGTAAGATGTGGCAAGGACCCTTTTTTTTCATTCATAAATTTCACCTTTTCTATATCTCAAAATCAATCCAAATTCAAAACCCTAAAAAAGTTGAAGTTTTTAATCAACGAAGTGTCCCATTTAAAGAACATATATAATTTTACGTCTTATAATCGAATGAACTACTAGTGATATTTATAACACTTATATACAAGGCTTTTCCACCTATTTACCATAATTGAATGTTTTATTTATTTTTTTTAACAAAAGATGTTATAGTTTGAGAATAAAAAAAAAATTTTAAGTGTCGATATTTAAATTTTAAATATATTTAATGTCGCTTATTAAGAATAACTGTATAAATCAATTAAATTAAATTACTAATTAATACTTTATTTTGTCTTTAATTGTTATCAAAGCTTTGTTTTAATATTCAAACTTTTTCATGATTTTATGGTTTTGTTTTTAGCATAAATTTATGTCTTTAATAATATCGTGCATACAACAAGGTTTTTTCGTATGCCAAAATCTCATTTCATGTATTCTGTTTGTTTAACAAACCCAAAGTGTTCTAAAATAAATTTAAAAGCACTTTGAAATATAGTACTCCTTATTCTAGTTCTAATTATAATGCAACTTTATAAGCTAATTAATACCAAAAAAATAAGGGTAAAATTGAAATGAGAGAAGTCACCATCACCACCATGAGTAATGTAGGGAAAAAATTTGAGAGGGACTTGAATTTTTGGAGCTGCCCCATACCATTTACTACCCTTTGGATTTGTCAATTGTGAGGACCAAAAAAACCTTCCAAAATTCCTTTGCGTTTGGGGATTTTCTTTTGTTCTATCGTCATACATTGAACATTATTTATTTATTAATTTATTTTATGCCCTATGAATTAAGTAAAGCTACATAGTGGAAGAGGGGTTTTGATTTCTTCTGTCATGTGACTTTAGCATGTACTCTGATCAAAAATTTAATTGTTTTCTCTATCCTATTTATTTTGCTGACCTTTCTTCTCTGCCCATCTCTTCATTTACAAACACAAGTTTCTTCGCTTAATTTCCCACTCTCAATATTATCTTGTGTTGAGTGTTATATAAAGAGAGAGCCAACTTTCTTCTTTTTTGCTGATTTTAGTTTCAGTACTATATACTACCCAATGGGGAGATCACCTTGCTGTGACAAAGTGGGGTTGAAGAAAGGACCATGGACACCTGAAGAAGATCAGAAACTCTTAGTTTACATTGAAGAACATGGTCATGGAAGCTGGCGTGCCTTGCCTGCGAAAGCCGGTGACTAACCCTAACCTTAATTTTCTTGGTTAATTACTTATAGTACAAGATACTTCATTTTCATTCCTCAATCCTCATCCAGTTCAGTTCAGCTCAATTTTGTTTTGGTCTCATTGTTTTTTAGGCCTTCAAAGATGTGGGAAGAGCTGCAGGCTCAGATGGACTAATTATCTAAGACCCGATATTAAGAGAGGAAAGTTTAGTTTGCAAGAAGAACAAACTATCATTCAACTCCATGCCCTTTTAGGGAACAGGTATAAGAGTTCATCATAATGTTACATAACCTGGAATGAATTTTTTTGTAATTTTTTTTCATTTTTTTCTTAGCCATTTTTTGATGTCTTTTTCCCTCATGACTCTTGAATAAATTTCTTGAAAAAACCAGCTAGTTTTCTGATCTTGGGTCGTCCTAATTTCTCAACCTAGTTTTTCCCTATTCGGTTTTGAAATTCAAGCTCAAATTTCTTGCACTCAGTAACATATTTTTTTTGGGTACAATGGATGCACACAATTACTTTCAAAGTCTGAACTGTCACTCTACCCTATCAACTATAAAACTTATTTTTTATTTTCATTTTGTTTTGACCCTACAGATATTAATTAAATTTGTGTTCTCTGCCATATGCATTAAGTTACTGCTACTTATGACATCTGATTTTAATAGGATGGTAACTTTAGAAGCAAAAATGGGTCTTCAATTCTTCACTAGAATGAAATAATCAGTTTTTTTTATTACATTTTTTCCTCATTTTCTTGCCTATATATTTCAGTTGGGGGGGGTGTCTTTAGATGACTGAAAGTCTGAAACATTCAAAAAATGCATTGTGGTAGTTGAAGTTTTCTAGGGTTTTATGAAAGGGTTCTGTCACTATTACGTCTTTATTTGTCTGTTTTTGTCTTCAGGTGGTCTGCTATAGCCACTCACTTGCCAAAGAGAACAGATAATGAGATAAAAAACTACTGGAATACTCATCTTAAGAAAAGGTTGGCTAAAATGGGGATTGATCCAATCACTCACAAGCCAAAAAGTGATGCTTTACTCTCCACTGATGGCCAATCCAAGAATGCAGCAAACCTTAGCCATATGGCTCAGTGGGAGAGTGCTAGGCTTGAAGCTGAAGCTAGATTGGTTAGAGAATCGAAGATACGTTCACATTCATTTCAACATCAGCTCAACCCTCCAGGTTTTGCTTCTTCAGCTTCTGCTTCTGGTTCAACTTCAGCTTCAGCCGCTCAGCTTGTGAATAAGACAGCTTGGAACAGTGCTACTGGCTGGTCAAAATCCAGTGAAGGTAATAGTGGTGTTTTGAACACTGCACTTGGGGCTGCTGGTGACCTTGAGTCTCCTACATCTACTCTTACTTTCTCAGAGAATGCACCACCACGAAACATAAGTACAGGGCTTGGAGTGGGTTCAATGCCCATGATTCAGTTTGTTGGCACTATTTCAGGTTCATCCCAGACCGGAATCATCAAAGAAGAAGGGGAACAAGAATGGAAAGGCCTTGGAAGTTCAACTAATTTGCCTGATTACAAAGAGGGTATGGAGAATTCTTTCTCATTCACTTCTAGCCTTCATGATATGGCAATTTCCATGGAAGGAGGATGGACTCCAGAGTCTTTAAGGCCAAGTAGCAGTCATGTTAATGTTGGAAATGTAATGGAGGAAGGCTTCACTAATCTTCTTCTCGATGATTCTATCGACCGGAGTTTATCAGATAGTGGCAAAGAATCTGATGAAAACAGTGGAGGTAGTGGTGATGGCAGTGATTACTATGAAGATAACAAGAATTATTGGAACAGCATTCTTAATTTGGTGAATTCTTCCCCATCAGATTCACCAATGTTCTAAAGAAGTTCATCACAACTACAATCCTTAGCCTAAGTTAAAGACCCATTAATCATATTTACCAATTGTTCTTAAGCAGTGCAAATACCATCAGCTGATATATATATATATATATATATATATGCATATTTCCCCACAATTTAAGTATGTGCACAATGATGGTTTCTCTTGCTACCTTGCTTCATCGCTCTCTCCAAAAGCAACAAACACAACAGCCTTGACGACTGCTTTTCTTCAAAAAGAGGAATGTTGAACGATAGCTTTTCAATTTTGTCATCCTGTTGTAGTTGATAGAATTTTAACATGTTTGAGTGCAATTCAATGACATTCAGTTTGTAATTTTTTGTTCATTTTTATCTTTGTACTCATCATCCAGATCTCTATCTGATCATAATCAAGCGAGGGCCAAGGAAATAGTACAATGGAAGATGTTGATAAATATCAACATTTTACAAAAGGGTGTAAGAAATTGGATATGGATTTACCCTCAAAAGTTATTTTCCTTTGTAGTAGGCTCTCTTCATATATAGACAAAGTCCAATAAATAAAGAGTTGTATTTATGAAAGACTTTATTGCTGGTCGTTTCAGGTCACATTCAGCTAATAAGAAGCAAGATAATTTCTTGGTATCATTTTTTTCTTTGTTACAAATGGTTGCATGTACTGAGATTTAAATCTCGAACAAACAGAATATCACTTTTTAGATGTTACCTTTTAACGGTAGTTGCATAAACCAATTAAATTAAGTTTTGATTTCGGTATTTTTTCCCTGTTACCTTGGTTGGTAAAAAATTCAGTAGAAATGAAACTAAAGTAAACTTAAATGATCCGTAGTTTTTCTGCAGATATACTGATATTTCTTGTAAAAAGGGACAGAAAGAATTTATCAGAAGAAGCAATGATATTGCAAACCAATTAATATTCACTATATAACTACTTATAACAATATCATTTTCGATTTTTCAAGCACATCATTTAATTTCAAAACACAAGAGAATTATAATGGCTTACATTAGTCTAAAATATGGACCAATATATTGGGACAACTCATAGGCCTTTTGCAGTAATGTCAATATCTCATTACCTTGCCCTTTAGTGATCTCTAAGTATTTATCTTAATTATTTCTTTGTCTTCTCTCCATTTTTCCTCTTCTTCTAGCTTGAAACATATTGATCTTTATTAAAATAAAAAGTTTACAAATTGAAGGTCTCGAGTTCAAATAGGTGCTCTCAGCTTGAACTATCAAACTAGAAGAGAGGAGGTAAATTACAAAGATGACACAAAAAAATGTGTCCCAAACCACCATTGCCAATATCAGACATGGTTTGGCAAAGATGGTGGGTGAACAGTAATACTCTAGCAAAGCTCCTTTGATCTTCTTAAGCTTTTTCGGATGCTAAAGTGGATGAAAGTCATGATCTAACTTCAATTTTGCCAAATCAAGAAAACTTGACTACTGATAACAATAGGCATGCATGGGATGGATATATGCAAGCTAAAACACTAATCTCTGTCAACAGGTTTTGCTACTAAACACTAATGTTTCGAACCAAACAGGATGACGACGTTTGATAAACCTCGTTTTTCCATTGTCCTTTTGTTTGAAAACTACTTGATTTTCTCAAACACCCTAATCAAATTTTTTGTTTTTTGGGCTAGGAACTTATTATTAATTGAAAAGTAATGCTCCAAATTAAGCATAGTTGTCAAAGCTTTCCATCTAATAACATGTAACTAGATCTGACAATTCACGTATCTATTTCATGTTTGTCCGTATCCAATACATATAAAATATAAAAATTTTATGTCATAATTCGTTTTAATACACCTAAATACAATACATATTAGGTTTTTCATTTTTTTTTCAAATCCATATACATTTTTTTGCCAAAACTTTAACCCGTGTGATTTACATTTCCTTTCGTATTATTTTGGTTTGTTATTTTCCTATTGTGTCCCATTGTTATATCCAAAATTGGCAAATCTACAAGTAACTGCCAAAGCTATATATAGTTCCACTGCAACAAAAGGATATGCAGCAACTAATTAAATCAACTAACAATCCATCAACATCTCGGACATCAAAATATCATGCATTAAACAGTATTTAATAAGTAATTACCCAAAAGAAAAAAAATTTCCCATGAGCTTGATTTGTGCATTCAATATTGGCTAGCCATCAGAGAAAAACTAGCTGATGCTTCAAAACCCAATTTTTATTTATTCTTGTCAAAACATTCTGAGAATCCATGCTTGTAATAATTAAGACCACATGCTCCATGTTTCATCAGTTTTGGTCTGTTGAATAAATAACAGATGTGGATTGATATTTGATGGGGATGATCTGGAATTTCATAGCATAAAATTATTTTGCATATCAAAAACTACTATAAGCTGGATCTCTTTCTTTTTTCTTTTTTTTTTTTTTTGCCTGCAGCAGAAGCACACTGATGTAATGAGTAGAAAATATTAAAATATGGTCCCCCTCCTGAATTGATTTATGCTTAATGAATGAATCACAGCTCTTCCACATGTCTGGTCATATTATAGTTTTTTTCTCAACAAGCCAAGAGGAAATTAAAAAAAGATCATTGTTTCCATTCCTGCTGATATCCTCTCAAGATTCTATCACTGCAAGAAAGTGTTAAGAGCTTAAATATAATAATTGGACCCTTTCCTATCAGCTTAAATTTTTACGATTGTTGATAATCATCCATTAACATAATATCAAAGTTCTCGAGTTCAAAGCCTACATCGGAGATCAGCTGATATTGAGAACTACCACAGATTAAGCTAGCTATATAACAAGAACAAGTTCATTCTCTCAAACCTGAGTCCAAAATTTTTCGGATTCGCATAAGAAGGTTGCATATGAGGTCTGCTGTCAGGCTTTAGGATTTGGAGCAAGATCCAAGATGAGTATATGTTGAAATTGTAGGTACAGGAATTATTATTTTCAGTCTGATTTAAAAGGCTACCATGATATATAAATATGGTATATGCTTCTCAAGATAAATTAGATAATGTTGAAAATTGAATTTTCCATTTTAGCTGGGGGATATTGTACAGAACAAAGTTCAAAATTTTAATAACTGTCCTTCCTAACTTTATAATTGCCCTTCTATAATTTAATTTTCACGACTGAACTAACATAAAGCAGATTGTACGTTTTTCTTTAACTATACGTGATTTTATCTTCGATTTGATATTAAAATCAAAGCAACTTTCTAAACAATTTAAGATCTTTTTCGCAATGTAAAATTAACTTTAAAGTTCATAACATACAAGTTTACTATTAATCAATATGTTATATTTTAGTGATAACATAAATAGTATTTTAGTTTCCAGATATTAACATTCACATATGATTTTAAGACAAACAGTTATATATAGATGATGAGTAAAATAAAAAATTAAACCATACATGTAACATTCTCAACTCTATATTCTCTCTGTTGTTGCATGTTATCTTCTTGTCTCTTATACTTTCCTCCTTTTTCCTCATAAACTTAATTGACTTGAGTGTTGAAATGTTACCTTTAACGTCCTTTTTTTTTTTTTATCATTTTTAGTAAATTTGTTATGCTTTCCAGCTCAACTTCCAATAAGTTCCACTCTCATCAAATCAAGAATTAAGATAACACATGAAAGAAAAAATATATAGGAAGAAACTACTTAAATTCTGCAGATGAAATGTCTCAATCTTGAATCATCCCCACCATTCCACGAGTGTATCTATATATATATATATACTTCAGCTATTTGTTTGCCATTTTCTCCTATTCTCTTCCTTCCCTACTTCATAAGTATTTTTTGAAGGGTATATTTATAATTTTATAACAAAATTAAGCTTATCGGTAACATCAAGATAAGACAAGATCTATCGTATTCTATAAAGAATTCAAGATATTTCCGTACGCACATATGCAAATGTTTGTTACTATGTATTCATCTGAAGAGCTAAGAGTGTAAAAATACAAAGATAGACATAAAATTAAAAGATTTGTTATGATTTGATGGTTTGCAGCAGCCTCAACGAACAAACCATATGGATCACATCAAGACACGTCATTTCTCGTGAAAATTCAACAACCAAAAAATATAATAAATTTATATTGAAAATTTTTTTTGAATTAACCATTATTTTCCCATTAAATGAAAGGATCATGAAGCCAGGCTGTGATGAAAGTGTTGGGAGAATATAATAGTGAAACTTAGGCCACACCTTCAATTGTCAAAAACAACAACACCCTTTTTTTTTTTTTCCTCAACCCTTTTCTCTTTTGTTTGTTTAAATTTCTCTCTCTCAGTTTGCTGTACATGAACATTTATTTCAGTATATAATGCTGCACATGGGTCTTAAATTACCTCGACTGCGCCCAACTGTGCTTCATAAATGTGGTTTTTTTGTGCTGTGACTTTGGATGGATTTTGCTTCGATGAAACTGCTGTGATTTGTACACTTGTTTGTGTTCAACTAGTCCCTAGTTTCAATCTCATCAACTAGATGTAATTAATGATGGTAAATATTTATATCATAATAAATGCAAAGTAGCATTCATAATTTTTTAGATTTAATCTACTTTTAATGAGTCCGACCGGATAAAGCTCAAATTTTAATCTTATATTTAATACATAGAATAACAAATAAGATATAATAATAAGTATTTTATATTATATTTAATTTATATTTTAAAAAATAAGATTATAAAAAAAATTAATTATTTTTTATATAAAATAATTCAATATTTCTAAAATAGATAAAATTATTTTTAATCTTATAATTAAATTTACATATCTTATTATATTTTTAAAAATTATATCAATAATTTAAATTATATAAATTTAAAAAAAATAATTTTAATTAATAAATAAATTATTCTATCATAATCTTTATATATATATTATAAATATATTATAAAATAATATTATTTAATCTAATTTTATTTATAATATTATTTTATTTTGTCCCATTATAATTTTGTATATAAAAAACATCCAAAGAAAATTATATATAAAAATTATTTTATAATTTAAGGGTATTTTTTCGTAAAAAAATTTGACTGTGTCAGAAAGTAGGATAATAAAAAGGGATAAATTACTTCTTATTATACAACTCAACTCGGTCTTTTTATTTTTATCAATCATAGTTCAGTTTTTTTGTGACAAACACTCTAAGAGTCCGTTTGGGTCAGTGATTTTCCTTCCAGTACGGTATGATTACAG